GCCTGGTCAGGAAGGGAGGGGGGTAAATTCTCAGGAGGGCAAGTGGTTAATAAAGGTCCCAATTCATGGTGACACTCATGTGTATCAGTTGATGGGTCATAGTATGGTGTATCACACACTTCACCAGCTGATCTTTTGATCCTTCAGCTGTGTATGTTCTATGTAGTGACCCTGTATATGTTCCACTGGGAAGTGGGATAAACACTGTTTTCTTTAAGCGAGAAGTGGGTAATCTTCTCCATACTCTTTGGACTATGCTATTATAGGCACGCACCATTAGTCAGCTTTTGGATTAACCTACACATGCCTTTGTTAACTCACCCATGAAATCAATCTCAAGAGGCAAAAAAATTACACTGTTCACAGTAGGTAGTAATCTTTCCTGAGCAAAATCCAGACAGGCAGGCAAGTCTCACATGTTATTGGTTTCAGGCCAGTTTTTTCTACTGCTCTCCATCTTATTATAATTCATGGAAGCTATCAGTCTACCACAGATATCCTCCCCTCCCAAGTAATTATCAGGTCTAATTCATCCAGAATTTAAACAAAGGAAAGTAAAAGAAACAGTGAGTGCCTTGCTTTTTAAACCACACTGTGCCAGACAAATTGTAGATGTACCCATTCAATGTGAGTCTGCTCACTGCGAGCTGAAGAATAAATGATATATTACTCAAATGGGAAGTTCTGGCATGAAGAATTAATGCCATGGAATTTAATGAAATTCCCTTCAATTCATTATCATTATTTAAAATTGTCAACGTAATTTCCAAATTTTTTGCTTAAAAGACTGCAAAAAGGAAACAAAACAAAAACAGCAAGATTCATATAATAATCTTACATGTTTTTTTGTATCATGCCTTTCTTAAACAGTTTAACATTTTTAAACATCTGTATTAGCAGGTGTGTTTTTTTAAAGCCAAATTGAACTTTGTTTAAATCATATAAATACATTCCAGGTGCATTAAAACTCAAAAGTGTGAAGTTACAATTCTTCTTTAGAAAGCAGGCACATCCTGAGTAGAAAAGCATGTCCAATGTCGGCATGCTGGATAGAAGGACCCTTGCTTTCTTTGAGGAAGCAGTGGTCTCTCTGCGAAGGTCCAACATGCTTCCTGATAAATCATGCCAATAATGCAGTCAGCAAGATTTATTCTCCTCGTGGATAAGAAAGCTATAGGTCTGAGTTAATAGCGGTGTGTTGGAGCTTTACAGAAAAACCATTGCTTCTGTACTGCTTTCTAAAGAAAACATGACTTTGTATACCTTTTATTTTAATGCACCTGAAATGTATTTAGCTGATTTCCCTGGTCTCCTCCTCCCATGCCCGTCTCCAGGACTTCTCCAGGGCTTCCCCATCCTCTGGAACTCGCTACCCCAAATCCATCAGACTGTCACCTACCCTCCTCGCCTTTAGGCGCACCCTGAAAACCCATCTCTTCAGAGAAGCCTACCCAGCCCTCACCTAATTGCTGATCTCCTCCGCTCTTCCCGCCACGCCATCCCCCACAGCTATTTCCTCTTGTACCACTCTCCCCTCCCTCCTAGATTGTAAGCTCCAAGGAGCACGGCCCTCGAACCCCTCGTGTATCGCATTGCATTGTTACTGTACTGTCTCCCACTATAATGTACAGCGCTGACCAAACTATTGGCGCTATATAAATACTGTATAATAATAATAATAATAATAATTTAATCTGAAAATTTAGTAGGGCTTTACCTGTTGTGCAGAGATGAATGATATAAGGATTGTTATATGAAATGGATTATAGGGTTTTATTTTTTGTTTTTCTTTTATTTCTGCCTTTATCAATGCAATAAAAAAATAAATCCCATAAATACAGAAAGGAATGCCAGGCCAAAACCAGATGACAGAGTCCAAAATAATTTTGATAAATGGTAAATAAGTCATAAAAATCTGATTTTATATGATTGATTTACCAAAATTGCTAATTATCTTGGACTCTTTCATTTGGTTTTCGTCTGGCACTCCTTTTTGGGCTCCATGCACACTGGGAGTTTTGATAACGCTGGTAATGTTAGCTGTGTAAAGTCACGTCACGTTTTCAGCTTTTGTTAGCTTTTGCATTAGCGTTTAGCGACTTTTTTCCCGCGTTTGCATTTTTTTAGCTTTTTTTTTTACAAAAAAAATATTTTTTTATAGTCAAAAAAAGTCCAGAAATGCTGGTTTGTGGTGTTTTACCACATTTTGCCACATTTTTCAGCGTTAGAGCTTTTTTACAGCTAAAAAAACTCCTCTATAAACCCACTAGTCCTGGGTTTTTTTTCTAGCCAAAAAACATCCCAGCCAAAAAACATACAGTCTGTGTGTGCATGGACACATAGGATAACATGCTGCTGGGGAGTTTACTGGCTGTAGAAAAAAATGTCAAAAGCCAAAAACAGCCGCTGTAAAAACGTCCAGTGTGCATGAGGACTAAAAGTTGAAAGTGCAACCCTTAATATGTTGTTATGGATTGAAATATAAATGTCCCTTGAGGTGGGGGAGGAGTAACCACCTTCTACCTGGCATCCTTTTGTTTCCCCACTCTTCCTCCTTTACTGTTCTTATCTGTATTTCTCTCTCTTTTCTTGACTTTCTATTTCCAAATTTTTTATATTTTACACATACATATATATATATATATTGGGCTAGCTGAGAGGTGGGTTTTCTATCATATATGGTTTACGCATCTGGAACCGGGATATGTCTTTCTGTTCTCTCTTGAATATACTGCATAGATGACCTGTTGATGATGCCATTTTGATATCTTTATATTGATTGTAGTGCACTGTTCTGCCTACTTGCCACCTGCTGTTCAGCTGTCATAAATAAATAATTTGTAAAAAAAAAAAAAAAAAAAAAAAAAAAAAAAAAAAAAGATCAATGTCTTTGTGCAGAAACTTACAGTGAGGTGGTAGACAACACAATGGTGTTGATTTAGTAAATATGTGGCCTGTTCACTTAGCCAGAACAGAACTTCATTCACCCATGTAAAGTGTTACTAAACCCAGGACCCTGCATTCACTATATCTGATCTCCCACAGTACACAGAACAGAAATGAAATTATTGTAGTAAATATTAACTGCTATATACCTTTTCTATTCAGCAGTTAGAGCAGTCATGTGACTTCTATCAGTATTTAGCAAAGCTTGTAGGAGGAATTTTCCTTCTCCCCTGATTGTCCTATGAGGCTGCATACCCTCTAACCCTCTGTCTAGACAGCACTGATTGGCCCTGTGTTGATCCTCAGTAGCATGTGACTTCTATCAGTGTCTGGCTGAGCACTGGTTAAAGCTTGTGGGAGGGGTTTTCATTCTTCTCTGACTGTCCTATGAGGCTGCATAACATCTGACCCTCTGTCTGGACAGCGCTGATTAGCCCTATTCTGATCGCATGCACCCTCCCAAAGGAAAAAAAAAAACTCTCTAGCAATACACACCAAACTGAGCATGGCTCTGTTCTATCAGCAGATGGATTTGGGACAGTAGAAGAAGGGGAGGTTCAGAAAAGACAGGGTCAAACATCCTTTTTACACAATGTGGAGGATTAACCCCTTAGGGTAGTGAATATAACAAGCATGCTTTACTGCATATACAGACTGATTTTACTGTTGTGGGTTTAGTAACACTTTAAGTACCCGGGAAACTAATTTTTTTTACCTTTCCTTGCACGTGATTAGCAACACAATGGGCTACTCCTTAAGTAAGCCACAGGAGAAACAGGCGACATTTTTTTCTATTACTTAAAAGTAGCAATACTCTAAGAGAATTACCTTGGGCTCCATCTCTCAAGCTTCTAATAAATGTAATAGGAGGAATACAAATTATGCACTGCTTGTCTCCACTGATAATGTCCTAGTAATGAGTCATTTAAAAATGGCAGCATGCGTTTTCCCCCACATTACGTTAAACTGTCTTGTCTTCAGAGCTAATCATTCTTATAGGCTATAAAATTTACAGTGTGCTGCCAGCACATTTCCTTAATTTTCCTGAGTAAAGACATTAATTCCTAATTCTTAGTAGGATTTAACTCCCAACGGGACCATGCACCATAGCTGCTGATCATACATTTCTAGGATTAGGAGGAATGAGAACAGTTGAAAGGGGGAGAGACAGGCCGTCTATTAAGGCAAATATGATAAGTAGTTGCTGATTACTAAAAAGTCTGATTTCACACATCTGGATAGTATGCCAGCAGATATGAGACTACAGAAAGCTGTAGGTTTATACAAACACATTGTGGTTGATTATATACTAACTAATAAGATGTGTTATTCTAAAAAAAAAAAGGCAAATTTAACATTCAGTGTCTCAACAGCTCTGTATTTTCAGGGGACTTGTTATGAGAATAACCTGCACTGACAGCCAAAAAATAAAAAAAGAGAGCTAAATGAGGTTACTATGTTTAGAGTGCTGGCCAAGGCAGCCTGAGAAATCCCATCACGAAGAGAAAAAAGCAATGGGTGAGCAGACTGCAGGTGGTAGAATGGAACCACTGACTCTCCTTTGTTCTTTTCTTGCACTTTCCACATAATAGGGAATGCAATCAGACATCAAAAAGATTATGGGGCATATTTAAAAAGTTGTGATTGTGTCATTAACCGAAAATCAATCATTATAATTTAGAAACATAGTAACATGGTTAGTCAGGATGAAAAAAAAAAAAAAAAAAGACAGTCCAATCATGTTCGACCAATAATAGAAAACCTCCATAAACGTAATCCATAGCCATAGTTGATCTTAAAAAAAGATCAAACAACTTTTACAAAGCATGGTCAAATTTGATTTAACAGGGAAAAAACCTTCTTGATCCCCTAAGGCAATCAAAAAATAAAAATATTCTGCATATTTGGGAATGCATCCAACTTTACATTTAACTGAGATGGCTGGAACTAGTTCTATTTCACATTTACTGTGAAGAATCCTTTCCATATATGAACACGGAACCTCTTTTACTATTATGTTTTTAAACCTGATGATCATATCCCTGTTAATTGCCTCTTTTTTCATAGGGAGATTAACCACTTCCTGTCCAGCCCATGTGCATAAACGGCCAGATGGGAGCAGTGCAGGAACGGGTTGCTGTGTATAAACGTCCTCCCACATTCCATGCCTGTGCACGCTCCCTGGGAGTGTGCGGCATCGAGATCCAGTGCCTGCTGTGTCCGGGGGACACAGCAGAACACTGATCACTGTACTGGACCTCTGTGTGAGGTCCTGATCATGTGATCACTGATTGGCCAATCAGCGATCACATGAATAGTAGTAAGCAAGATGTCAGTTGCTGACATCATTGCTTACTACTAGTGAAATCTGTGAATGATCACAAAAGTCACATGGTACAAGGCTATTCACAACAGCCTTGTACCATGTGACAAGCTGTGACCAATCACAGCTCACACAGTATTTCTCAATGGCTGCAACAATGCAGCCAGAGAGAAGGAAAAATTATTGCTTTTACAGCCTTTATGGGTGTAAAACCAAACGGTGTAAAAAAAAAAAATCTTCATCACCCCCCACAAGTAGTACAGTGTCAGAATGTTAAAAAAAAACATAAATAATAATAAACAAAAATAAAAAATGTTTTTGAAAAATTATAATTTTTGGTTATAAACTAATTTGGTTTTTTTGGTTTTTTTTTTTACTAAAAAGATAGTTGAATACATTTTGGCCAAGATTTATGAAGTAAGATTATTTATTTGCAACATTTTATAAGAAAAACACTTTTTTCTCAAAATGTTTAGACTTTTTCATTTATATAGCAAAAAAATAAAAATCCCAGTGGTGAATAAATACCACCAAAATAAAGTTTTATCTGTCTCAAAAAATGCTAAAAAATTCATATGGGTACAGTGTTGCATGACCGCGCAATTGTCATTCAAAGTGTGATAGCACTGAAAGCTGAAAATTGGTCTGGGCAAGAGGGGAGTGAAGTGGTTAAATTCAGTTTATCTAAGAAGCTGAGGTCCTCCATGCCTCTTATCAATTTAGTTGCCGTTCTCTGCACTCTCATCATTTCCCCAAAATTATTTTTGTAAACTGGAACTGAATTTTCTAAATGGAGTGCTACTAATACTTTCACAGAGGCAGGAGTATATTTTTTCTTCTGGAATCTATTTGGAATCTATTCCTTTTTGTTTTAAAGAAGATACTGTATTTTGTTGCTTTAGAAACCACAGCATGGCATTGCATGCTATTATTAAATGTATGACCTGAATTCTCAGATTCTTCTCAATGATTGCTTCCCCCAGTTGTACCCCCAGAGTGTATGTGGCATGCAAGTTTGTAGCTCCCAAGTGCAAGACTTTACAAGAGACAGCTGCAGTAAATGTTTTGTAGTTCATTGCTTTATAAATATCCCCCTATGTATTTTTTTTTCTGCAAAGGGTGTATGCAGAAAGTACTATAGAACAGAAAGGGGCAAAAACACAACTAAAAACTGATTTCCTATCTCCACTTGCCCACTCCTGAATTAGCCTTTCAACTCAGTCATGCTCAGGAAGAATGCTAAATAATACTCCCCCTCCAACAGAACTAATATGGGTGTCAGACATTAATCATGCGGCACTTGGTGGATGCAAAAGCGACTCTCAATACACTTCAGTTGGACCAAAAAAATTACCCGGATAGCTGGTTAGCTGTAAAATGTAACATTAAAAAGGGGGAAAAGAATTGCTGACCATGGCAACAATATTGTGCTTGTTTCTATTCTCCTACCCATTCTTAAAAAAATGACAGCGGGGATTTGATTAGTTACCACAAGCAGCACTTCCATTTTTTTACATCAGCTCCAACATGTCTTGTCTGAAGACAAATAATCCTACCTACCCTATAGGAGGTGAAGCATAAGTATATGTGCTATATTACATATAGCATAAACCAGTTCTAACTGCTTCAATCAATCATTCCTCCAAACGTTATTCTGCTTTCTTGTCGCTTACTGTTTGCTATACATGCCAAAGCAATCAATCATTTTTAGTGGGAATGTTCTCTATCATTAAAATAAATTGTGTTTTACATAGAACAGGATTCTAGAAGATAATTTGTCACTTAGGTCTCATACAGAAAACCTGGGGTTGCTTTCAAGATCCATTTTGCTTCATTTTTCAAAAATGCAAGAGAAATAATGAATCTGGCAAATTAAATAACAGCTGATGTGGTGTTGACCTCTGACTCTAGATGGATGTATGTTTGGTTTCTAATTGGACATGCTTACAGTACGTGAGTTTCGCATATCCTCATGTCTTTTGGGTTATATAGTCCTCTAAAGAGGAACATTCTAGTCTAGCTTGGATGTTGAAACTATAGTGTCCTTGGATCAGAAAATTGTTTGGGGGGGGGGAGAGGGATGAATAAAAAAAAAACTTTCTTGGTTGGTTTGACTTTACTGTGTGCTGGTAGATAGTCTTATATTTGCATTTTTTTGTGATAAATATCAAGCAATTTTCTGCCCCTTCTGCACTACATACTCATACTAGACAAGGGGATATTATATTATTAAAGTGGTTGTAAAGGCTCAAGGTTTTTTACCTTCTCTGTGCAGCATCCCCCCCAGCCCCCCCCAATACTCACCTAAGCCCCCTATCGATCCAGCGATGTGCACTGGAGTCTCTGCTATCCCAGCACTCCCTCTTCTCATTGTCTGAGACAGAAGCGGGAGCCATTGGCTCCCACTGCTGTCAATCACAGCCAGTGAGCCAATGAGAAGTGAGAGGGGGCAGGGATAAGCCATGGCTCTGTGTGTGAATGGACACACGGAGCAGTGGGTACCTGCATAGAAAGGTCCCCTTGATAAAGTCACGTGATCGGTGATGAAACATGTCAGGGAGGAGCTTGTGGATGATATCACGACGCAACGGAAATTCGGCGTTTAGCACAGCAGTGGTATACATTGCTCCAGGATCGTGAGGCACTCTGGTAACATTCTCAGGGCCCGCAGTTGCTATTGTGTCATAATAATTTCATGATCTTGCAATTGGCTGGAGCATATACTTATGTTACTGATTGTAGCTGACTTGGAAAGCACAGTTTCCTTGGGTTTGTGGAGATATTCAGTGGATGCTTTTTACACTTGGTGCAGTCTTTCACCTGTCACATGTGAGTGCATATGTGGAAGTCTTTGTGCTTAATAAAGCTTTTAAAGGGTAAACACTATGCTAAATTTTTTGTTCATGAGGATTACTACTGGTGAAGGGAGTTCTTTGGATTGAGCCATTGGGATCCATTATTCATCAAGGTGATCTTCGGAGTCCAAATTGGGACCAAAAGTGCAGTTAGACCAAGCATTATATGATGTGAGGTCACACTGCTGGAGGTGAGCAGCCATCTGGAGGAGGAATTGTGCACTCTCTCTCTGTGTTTTGAAGCACCGGTAGTCCATAGGAGGAAGGATATTTGTTCAGAAGAAATTTATTGGTACTTTTTATATTATTGTATATTATTTTTAGTAAATTTGTTCAGAAGAAATTTATTGGTACTTTTTATATTATTGTATATTATTTTTAGTATTCACATATTTATTTATTTATATTTGATATGTACCGCTGCACAGTCATATTTTTTTTTTTCTCATCTTGATTTTGCCCACATATGAGACAGGGTTTCTTGTGTTTTAACAGCTACTCATATAGTTTTGGGGGGTGACATTATATTGATTTTGACCCATAGTAGCGTGAAAGGTTTTTTCGCTATATTGTACCTCCAAAGAAAGCTCCTTACTTGACAGGAGAGAGAAGCCAAAAGAGCCTGCAGGGGACCCAAGAAGAGCAGGATCTGGGCTGCTCTGTACAAAAACCACTGCACACAGCAGGTAAGTACTGTATAGAAATTATCTTGAAAAAAAAATATAAGCCTTTAGAATCACTTTAAGGGTGAGAAACTGGTCTATATGGTTCAGGGGGCCCAGCTCAGTTCTTACACCAGGTCTACAGAGCTTCAAGTCATGCATTAGAAAGTGAAAGAACGTAGTTGATTAGTTTATATAAAGCAATGCCTTTTGCAATGTACTCTATTTTCCAGAACGTATAAGAAATTCACATCGGCGCTGTGTAACTAGTTTGCGAAGAAGGTAACTGTTGCATTAGTGGAGAGTCTGGAAACACATAGGCTGCATACATACATACATACAAATACAAGCTGTTAGATGCTGAACAAATTGATTTGTATAATCTTTTTTAATTGTGCAGGGTTGCAGTCTAGATACTGCACACCAGAACAGATGGTCTGTATGACCCAGCGGGCCTGCAAAATATGTGAATCATCCTGTGGTTAATTAGTGAAGATGACATTAGGAAATCATTGTTGTATTACACTGGCAAAATTAGTTGACATTAATGCTGGCAGTGTTGCCAAATATGCTTGAAGGAAAATGTTTTGATGGTATATATTTTCTTTCTTGCCATCTGTGGAACACTTTACTTCTGTGTTCATCAATACCAATGATGCTATCCAAAAAGAGGTTATTTGGAATAGTTCCCATAATAAAGACTGGGTGTACAGAGTAACTGAAAACAGTGGCTCTCCTTCTTTAGCACTCTAAATGAAGTAATATTGTGCTGTGAATAAGGTCTGCACTGTACACATAAAAGAACCTCGACATCTACCTTGACCCACTATCCTGTTTCAACATCCAAAATCCTAACTTATGCATGGGTCAAATTCTGAACAAATTTTCTTTAGAAAATCAGAATACATGGGTCACTCTGATTTTCATGGGTGAAATTCTGAACAAGTTTTCTTTAGAAAATCAGAAATTTTGTGAGTTTTGTAATCTGATGGTGCCACTATTGATTTGGAAATTTGGCCAACCAAGCCTCCATTTCACCCCGCAGAAAATAATTTTCGTGGCTGGGAATCTTCTTTTCTTTCCAGGTCACAGCTCATGCTCATTTCTTTTTTTGATGATGTTTCTTGCATGATAATCCCATCATTGATTAGAAATTTGTTTGTTTTTAAAAAACTTTCCAACATGCCCAATCACTCAAATTCAATGGCTGCACGAAAATCAGCCGATGCTGTAGCCCACTAATGGTGAGAATTCAAATGAAAATTCTTAGTTACAATTTTCGAAGGAAAATTCTTTCGATTTTCGACCCAGGTATGGCCTGCATTAGACACATGCACATTTACCTGTTTATTGGAATGGCCATTTTGCAAAGGAACGTTGGGCTTATTGGCTACAGTCCAGAAATAAATTGTGGTAATGCATCTCTTTGGGATAACCATACATAAATGCAGTTGTTCACATCTTAGGAGA